TACAAACTCCATGAGAATGCGGCAGCCAATAAGACGCCCGCAGTCCTAGGCTAACCTCGTTCCGTCTGGCCATTTGCCTTCAAGGCCAAATCACAAGGACCTCAATGCAGTGACTGTCCTCAGGCCGTTACTTCAGACCAAGCCGACCTAATGGATGGACGTGCGTCGGGCTGCCCACTTTTTCTTACGTATTATCCATTCCTCCTGTACAGAATAAACTATTCCTTCCATTCTGACCTCTAACAACTTCTCTTCTCCTAAGGAGCCCAGCCTGAAGATCGCAGTTTGTAGGGATTAACTTACTCAACCGCCTGCGACACCGTCACCGAACTCAATTCAAAACGCGAGCTCCGAATGGTCTATACGCCTCGCTTCATTAAAAGCAAATAAATCCCAAGAAATATGTCTTAATTTTCTTTGTTGAACTACGCACCGAGTGTCTCAATGCCGGTTTTTGCGAACTCCGGAGCTTAAGGGAAAAACGAAAGGTTAAACTTCCGTGTGGTAACGCCACTCTCATGCGATACTTGCAGGCTCAATTTTCGTAAGCACTTTATGAGCATGCACAAGTGAACAGCAGCTGCGAAAAATCGATTGAACTTTTCAAAGAAAGATGTGGACCTTCTCGAACAAGTGCACCAGAGGGCTATGCAGATGGCCGACGGTCTTCGGCATTTATCATACCAGGAGAGATTGATAAAGCTTGACCTATTTCCCTTGTCAAATAGACATCTACAGTGTAGCCTGCACTGGACATTTCGAATAATCCGCGACAATGGTTCCTCCCTGAGACTGGAGGACTTCTTCGATGTAACCAACACAACTCATCAGCTTGGCCATCCTTACGAAGTCACAAACGAGCGCACTCGATTGGACCTCAGAACAATTTTCCTCAGCCAACGAGTGGTCCGACCTTGGAACTTGTTACCAAGCGAGACGTACTCCGCCGACACCATTACGGATTTTAAAAACAGACTTGATTGCATAATATTTGACAAATGGCGACTGGTACAATATAATTTCTTACTGCCAGCCTTATGAACATTTTCCTGTCTCAAGCTCGTTTTCATACTTTTTCGTAACGCCCCGCGACAAATCACTCAAATCTGTGTTATGTTAACTGTCCTCAACTTCATATTGACTGTAAAATCTATTTGGTTACCTAATATTAATAAGGGTCCTCAAGAGCATTCCCTGCTATAACCCTACAAATACACATATATAAACCCATATGGAGAAGCGCCCAATCTCGCGAAGCGTATTCATGCTAAGGTGGACTTGAAGACAAAGGTTGCATCCAATCCAAAACTGGACTCCCTCCCTACACGGTAAACAATGAACTGCAAATATTACACGCTCAACAAAAAACTAATTTGAAAGGCA